CTCTTGATATTAACCTCTCCCAGTCTATCACCATTGACCAGCAACTGTGTCTTCCACTGTGCCATTGATCTTTGCCCAAATGATGTTTTTCTGACTCCTGTTATCTCTAGGCACTTGATTATTCAGTCATGTGGCTGGGAGTCAAATGCCTTCTTGTAATCAATCCAAGCTACATTCAAGTTGGTCTTCCTTCTCTTGCAGTTTTCCAAAATCATCTTGTCAATTAGGAGCTGATCTTTTGTTCCTCTGCTGGTTGGGCAGTTTCCTTTCTGCTCAGATGGCCCTGGTTGCTCAGCCAACAATCCTGAGTCCTGTAGCCCACTTGTCACCAGATGTCTAGGAACTAGATCACCTAGCACGGTCCTTGTTGACCCGGGTGACAACTGAACCAGTATAGGTTTTGATAAATTATGTCTCACCATATTGTTTATGGAAGAGACACTCTTCATCTGGCTCCTCTGATGAGACCTGTCCAGTGTGGTTGAACCTCTGGCACGTTAGTATTAGTATTATTATTTTCTATTTCTATTCAGACACAGAAAGAAGAGGTTTGCAAAGGACCCTGTGTGATTGTCTGCAGGCAGGGTCAGGTCCCAACTGGAGGATGAAGATATCCTTCCCACTGGCGGAGATGTAGGAAAATACTGACCCTGACAGCTAGGCTGAGGGAAAGGAGTTTATTTATTTATGTATTTATTTTTTTGATGCCACCTGACTCCAAACAACTCTGGGCAGATCACAATATCCCAGACAGTATAAAAACAATATAATATTCAAAGGGTAGACCAGTCAGAATGCCATCAGGGACCCAGAGGAAATAACTGCTGTTTGGAAACAGTGACATGTTTTTTTCAGAGTTGTTAACAGGATGGGAAGGCCAAATTGCCCGTGTCCCAGGAGCCCTTGGTAACTGAAAAGCAATCTCCCATCTGCTGATCTAGTTAGGGAGGTCAGACCAGAAGAGTCAGAATGTTGGACAAGTGGGACAGAACCCTGGGAAGCCTCATGCAATGAAGCAGTGTTTCTCAACCTCAGCAACTTCAAGATGTATGAACTTCAACTCGCAGATTTCTCCAGCCAGCGTGCTAGCTGGACAATTCTGGGAGTTGAAGTCTACACATCTTAAAGTTGCTGAGGTTGAGAAAATGCAATAAAGAACGCCAAAGAGGCTCACACCCCTGGCTGCAACTCCCTGTCTTCCATGGTCCCTCATCCCCACCTGGTAGGTGCAAACCTGCTCTGCTGGCTGGGCGATTTATTCTTGGAACCTTCTTCCACTAATGGGATGACCATTTTCTCCGCTACGTCTGTCAGAACTTGGAAAGTGGGTTCCACGATAAAATCAATGAAACCTGTGGAAGGAAGAAGCTATTAGGGACAGACTTGTGGACTTCTCTGCTTTCCTCTGAAGGGTTATACACAGAGCACAATGAGGGCGGTTTGCTCTGCTATGCCTGTGGCAAGAGAAAATAAACCAGTGGAGTGGAGGATAAATAAACAACTCTTCTACATTCAGGGAGGAAAGGAAGAGGCAGTCAGGGAGGGCTCCTCCATGACATACAGTCTGGTTTTCTGCAACTCACCAATCTGTGACTGGGCCACCAGTGTGGATGTACGATCACACAATGGGGAGAAGGGCAATCCCAGCTCAGCTTCCTTGTCTCCCTATAAAAAAAACAAGGCAGCATCAGGACCTAGTCATGTAGTAAGATATTTGAGGCAGACCCAGCATATATAACCAGATCAGTTACATTCACGGAACATGCTAAATTTGGTTAGTTTTAACTGACTTAACTGTCCTATGGCTCAGAAGTCATGCAACCCAGCCTATGGAGTGTTGCACAATTCAGTGTATGATATGAACCCAGAAAATGGGTTAATTTGCTAACCAGGTGTAACGTGTAGTGCAAACTCTGCCACAGTTCAGGCATGGAATACAGTTTTTCACTGAAAGCACTATGGATGTGGTACAACCTGACAATTGTGACTTTATCTAAAAAGCAAGTGTTCGTAACTACCGGAAAGAGGGGCAAGAAGGTGAGCGTGATTTCAGCAGTCCTATTTGGCATCCCAGCCCAACCGAACTCCTCCAGGGCAGATCCCCAGGCATACCTGACGGAAGAACTCTTCCATGAGTGCTTTGGTCCATCGGGAGTGCACCGTCCACTGTTTGGTAGGGTGGCTGATATCAGCTGCATGCAGCAACAAGGAGAGGGCTTTTGATTTGTCAATCCTGGGGAAGCAGCAGCACAGGAATAGCATAAATGGGGTCTTGCCCCTGGCATAATGTACCCACATAGGCACAGTGTCCCAACTGGGACAGGCAGCCTCCAGTTTGCTATGCCATGTGCCAGGCACTCACCTTTGCTGCTGTACAGAAGCCTGCTTTAGCAAGGATCAACTGGACAAGTGCACCCATCCCATCAAGAAGCAGAATAACCACTATTGTGCACATCCTTATTCCAGAGACCTCATTTCCACTGTAGTTTTATAGCTGATTTTAAAATCCAGGTATATTCCCTAGGCAACATGAGAAACTTCTGCCAGTTCTTACTTTATGTTCCACATAAATGTGTGAAGAACTTGACTCTTTCCCAGGCCCTCTGTGCTTGCCAGAAGAATCCAGGAAGGAACCTGGGGGCAATCTCAAAGAACTGTTGGCTATTCTTCAGACTAGGCTGAATAAAGGATTTCCAGGTGGAGCTTAGAAAGTCCTGTCCCACCCATTGCTACGAGTCCCCTACACCTATACTTTTTTAAAACTTCCAATATTAAGTGTGTGTGTGTACAAGTGAATACAAGGTTGAACTGTGGAGTCCTTGGTGCTCTCTGAGCCTGATTGTTTGCTTGCAGACATTTCATTACCCAGCTAGGTAACCTCATGCGTGCTGCACTGATGATGTTACCTAGTCAGATAACGAAACATCTGCAAGCAAACAACCAAGCTTAGAGCATATCTTCTGGCTTTTGCAACACTTGCTTTCAAAACATCTCTAAAAGAAGCATTGTCCACCCTCACTCTGAATTGACTTGGTGATCAGTGTCATCACTAGGAAACTGCCTCAGATTAGCTAGAGAGCTTTCTAATGTCTGCAGGTTGGTATGCATCTGCCAACTTCAATTAAAAAAAAACACGATGTTATGCTTTCAAATCCACTCTTTTTTCTGTTACATACCCAGAGGTCATTATAGCAATTTTTTAAATACATGCATATGTGCACGCACACACACACACCCTCCTTCTGCCATTTACCGCTCAAGCTGCTGCAGGGAAGTTTTCATGGACTTGACTTGCTGGAAGTGACAGGACATGTCTGTAGCCAGAACCATTTCAATCACGAGCGACCGGAGCTCACTGCGTCACATGAAATAAAGAAACACATCCACTATCAAACACACTCCCCCTACGTGTTCAATCTCTTACACAAATACATCTTGCAGATACACCAGGAGGAATCCCTGTCTTTAATGAGAAATGGAAGAATCCATCCATTCAGTTACCATGAGTGATCACATTTGAGTTGAAACTCTCTGCAGTTCCAGAAGAAAAATTCTGCACCAAGATGGCACAAATATCAAAGACCCTTGAGCATCAAGTAATACTGTTGCCACGTTTTGCTTTCAATATTGCCTTTGATAACGACAGTCATGTCTTTAACCCTTTCTCCTGGGGGCTGGAAAGACTCAAATGCCATTTGAGACACACAAATGCCTTCCTTCTATTCACTGTTCTCAAAGACAATAATATATCTTCACATTGACTGCTTTGCTGTGGGAAGTCTTTGGAAATCCTATCTTCCCAGCAAGTCCTCTGCAGCTGTAATACGTTTAACAGAAGGAGTCTGCCAACCTTTATTTCATTTTTCGTTCTGCCTATGAATGGATTCAATAAGTAATCATCTTTGCAGTTGAGCAGCTGAGCTTAAAAAGAATTCAGTAGAATTTAAAAGCTTAATTTCACTATGCCTCCAGAATCAACAAAACCACCCTATCTATTAATCTGCCTATCTGTACATATGCATATATGCAAATACACACACATAGACATGGATCCCAGAAAATTCTAATACAAATGTCTGTATAAATTCCAATGCAAAGGTCATCACAATGGGTGTATCAAACGTGTATGAGAGGGGATTTCTGGGCTCCATTTCCTGCGTTCCCTCCTCTCCCCCTCCCCTCCCCTGCAAAGCTTATATTCCAACAAATCTAAAGATTTGTTGCTCAAGCAACAAAGAAGTGGATTCTCAAAGGAGATGAAAGAAAAGGGAGCTGACGTCAAGAAAATTAGACAATTTATCATGATAATTATTTACAAAGCCTCATGCGTCCTATCAGCTAAGCTGAGGGAATACTGTAATGATAGACATGGGCCTAAGATGAGAACATCTGGTACATAAATTGTCTTGAATCTGGAAATAGTTTCAAACCCAGGTGCCAGGCAGAAATCTACAGTGCAGGCTGAAGCTGTCAATCAAGCCAAGTGGGAGGTGCTGGCATGGAAATGAGGCTTTCATTCAACTACTCAAGAATAAAATGAGGTATGAAATGAAGGAGATCTGCAGAGCAAGCCTTGCAAACAATTTTGGGATGAATGCTGGTAGAACCCAGAACCCTTGTCATCTCTGCTAGTTAGTCATTTCAAGACTCCCTGAGTATCGATGTGTGTACACACACACATACACAACCCCAGTAGGAAGTTCCCGGCATCACACAAGAGGGCAATTTGCCACATTTTCCTGCTGGTCTGGAAGGCTGGTTACAAAAACCAAGGGCAGGTGATCAGAGTATTTTTCCTCATATCACAGAATATCTGAGCAACAACTGAGAACTTCTAAATGCTACAAATGCACGGCCTAGAAAGATTTTGTATGTTTGGGTCTTTTTAGCCTCAAAAAGTCTGGAGTCATAATGCTGAGAAAAAAAATAATTGTTTCTGCTGCCACCTAAGCAAATTCTGCTGCTATGTAAAAGCCGCCAATTTTGTGATGCCGGGTCTCCAGAACATCCCTTCAATCACCCTCAGAAGCGTAAGAGAAGACATGGCACCCCAAATTGGAGTTATCTGAAAATAAATGGAAGATAGAACTGATCAGTGGCTGTCAGAGGGAGTCCCACATAAGCATATCTGAGCAGTTAATATGACTATAAACCCAAGCCCACTTACTAAAGGAGGAAGCTCCACTTAATGATTGCCCTTTCTCACAACTAAATATAAATGCACAGCATCACACGGGAAGAGGCCATTGTGTTCTAGTTAATAGCGAGGTTGACCATCAACTTGCTGATTCTTGTCCCATCCGACCTCCCAATGCCTGGACCCCTTTGAAGCATTTCTCAGTGAAAGCATGCCCCGTTTTTCCTGAGAGCAGGGTTCAGTAGAGAAAGGGATTGTGAGGGCTCACACAAATTCATCCTTGGTCAGGTTGACAAGTATGTTCATCTCCTCTTCCTGCATCATGCGGAAAACAGCGCTGATGTGGTGGTTCTCCAGCACTGACCGGTCATTGTACAAAATGGCAGTATCTGACCTGAAAAGGAAGAAAGCCATACAGCACCAAGGTGGCTTCAGCAAAAGCAATCTCAAGGACAAGAATGGGTGATCCTGTTTTTTGAGGAACTGATGAACTTTCCAACATTTTGGTTAAATCCAAGTATACTCAGTACAATGGCCTACACTGGTTCATCCTTAATTGCATGGCAAAAGGAGGCCATGGAAGCCTCAAGTAACCAACATAGTTGACTTATTATTTGTTATTGTGCATTCCACAGGTCTTTCAGCACTTTTCTTTCCTCTAAAATGACACTGTAAGGTTAGCAACG